TTAAGTCACAAAGCACAGAGTCTACAGCCAAGTTTGTTGTTATGGAAGACAGAAGTTTGTGTTTGATCACTGTGAGCAACAATGAGAAGTAATTTGAAGGGGATGAAGGGTTCACACTCGTAGAAGAAGCTAGATTATGAGAATGTTGAATGTGCTTACCTTTGTCTTGCGTGAAGACTGGGGTTTTCTCTACTATGTATTTTTGTAATTTAAACAGAGGTAAAACAGTGAATGAACAGTTTTACACTTTGAAATAAACTTAGTTCAGGACAACGTTGATCTGAGTTGAATGACAAGTATGTGTATTTCTGTTTGCAGGTACTTATTATCCTAGAAAGGAAGTAGACATCGTGAAATGTGAAAAGGCGAGAGTAATCCTTGTTAATTCTGCTCTTGTGATTGAAGCGACAAAAGACTGTGTTGACCGTAGTGGTGTTTCTCGTGTTTTTGGCGAGCGTTGGCTGGTTGCGACTCCAGGTGCATATCTGCCTGGTGTCTATGAAGAGATTGTTGAAGAGCGCAAAGCTATTACGTTAACGGAAAGGGTAAATGCGAGAAAACGTTACGTATCTGTGCATTTCTCTGTTATCTGTTACTGTTATCTATGTTACTGAGCAACTGAAAATAACTCCGAAGTTCTGCGTTTCGGAATGTCAGTTTGAGACATGTTTTCTAGATTTAAGGGGATAACATCTTTTGACCTGAATTTCATATGATTTGGCGAAGCAGTTGGTGCTGTGAAGAAGTGTAGAATGATAGCATAATTGTTTTTAAGTCAAGTCGACATATGGGTTTGAATATGAAGTAACATGTAAAGGCTGACACCGAATAGGCATTTACACTGAAGTGTATAGGAAAGTAGTTGTTATTAATTTTCTTTTTCATTATCCGAATGACCCTATGAGCATCCGCCTCTAAAAGGTTGATATTACACCCAAATATGTATTTGAATTCTAAATTGTAGGAGCTTTCTGCTATCAAAATTATATAACCATGTTCGATGACTGTGGTAATAGTGTGACTTTGTGTCTGCTATTTTTTTGCTTTTAGAGTCGAAAGTTATTTTGTGTGAAGGTGATTATCTTGAATTGAACAAACTCCATTGGTTTAGTATATGTTAGGTACATAGATGTAGATTGAAGTGTCTTTACTGAAAGTAGACTATTAAGGAGTCAGTGAGTATACGAAGGCGTGTAATATGCAAGTGTTCGGTTTCACTTTATCCTATATGTTGTTTGGATATCCTCACCTGATTACCTTAAAGATAGTCATATTTTCCTGCTATGTGATCCATTTGCTATGGTCGTATGTAATTCAGTCGACTGATAGTTGTTTGAGTTCCGATGAGTTGTGGTTCATAAGGTGAAGCAGAAATAAAGTCGTTAATATAAGTGT